ATGGCCAAATGAATCGCACGAAAACATTTAGGTTGTTTATGAGAACAATTAGAACTTTTATGGCCTTTAGACCCACAATTGTAGCAAACTATAGGTTGAGTAGGCTTCTGTGAGATTTTGCTATCTAAGTGATGAGAATTATTTTGTTTAAATTTCGGATCACTAGAAAATTTAGCATGTTTGGAAGCAGACACTAGCTCTCATAAATTTTTAACTTATCTTTGAATCCCCTTACAGTGTTACAACCATATAATAAAATTTTGTTAGGGTTTTCTGGAATACCATTTATCACATAATCAAAAATAGAAGACATATCAGTTTGACCTCTAGAACCAATTTCTCTCATAGCAATAAAATAATCGAAAAAGGATTTGTTTGGCTTTAAACGTCTTTTAAACATCAGTTTATGCAAATCTGCACTGTTAAGTTTAGAGGAAACTTCTTCTAACAAATATTCTTTTAACGTAGTAAAAGTTTTGACACCATGTAAAGAATTTACAAAAGTTTTAGCAGAGCCTGATAAGCATTTTTTTGTGAATATAATCTCGTGAACATCATTTGTGATTCTATTCAGTTCAAATAATTCTTCTATGTCATTTAAAAAAGATTGAATTAAATTATCAGAAGAACCATCAAAAGGTTTAATACATTCGTATAAATCACGAAACGTTATGCTGAATTGTTGTTCATTTACCATCGAAGACATGACAGGCGTATGATGTGTTCGATGTTTACGTACCCAAATACCGGAGCTATAAGTCTGCGCGTTTTGGCTAGATGCCAAGTTCGAACAAGTAATTGACTGCGTAGTGTTTTCAAAATCTGTTTTATTTTCGGCAATTAATTTTTGTTCAGGGTTTTCGAATTCGTTGTCAGAATCAGAATCGAAAATAGCAGTTTCTAATAGCAAATCGAAATTAGTTAAAGCATTCACAAGTGTAGTATAACATTCTTCAGCGGAAATGGCACTTTCTAAATTCAGAACATTAAGAATCGAAATTAGATCTGCCAGAGTGAAAATATTTAATAAACGTGCCTTAACTTCGGCAGTGTGAGAAGAGTTATCTAGTCCTGTGAATTCGCGAAGTCGTTTGCGATTTGCACGGTCGCCTTCTTGACCAAACACAAATTTATGTAGTAGCTTAATTGCTTTCGTGGGAGCTGATTTTAAAGATTTAGCTATATGTGGTATATCATTTAGAGTTGGAATTGTCACAACTGAACTATTTCGTAGAAAACAAGTGAGAAACAAGTTAATACAATAAAATGAAAATTCAGTTTCGATTTCGAAAGGAAAAGTTCTGGTTTTTTACTCAATACGTTCTAATGGTAAAAGTATACTTTCAGTTCATCAAAATTGAATTCAAAGATTCTTTAATTTCACTTCATCAAAATATTTGTTATTTGATTCTTAAAAAACAGCTTACCTTGACTGAAGAAGAACCGGTCGAAGTGCCCATGTAAACTCGGCGTCTAGGGAACTTCTACGCTGACGACACACATTTAGGTGAGTAAGTATTTATTTAGTTATTGATGGAGACACAGTGAAGTATTTACAAATGAAAAAAAGAGTTATAATTGAGAAGTTAACAGCTTCGCCATCTATTAATACGTCTTAGTCGAAAACATGACTGTTCTCTTTTCGCTTTCCTCGTCCATCCTTCGTCTCACTGCAATGCCGTTAATTGTGTTGAGTTGTCGCGTTCCTGCTACTCACATGTATATATTTTATTTTGTACAATATTTCAGAGTCTTAACTATATGAAAAGAATACATTTTAAGCAACATTAATTAAATATTAATTAATTACACTTTTTTCCAGAACAGTTCAATTTGAATGAAATATTTTCACAATTTTCGTTAATTACATTAGAAAAAAATATTTAAGGTAATTCGATTTTATTCGGTTAAGAATTAGAAAAATTGAGATAAAATTTTATTGTATTATTAATATTAAAATTGCGCATTATTTCTGTTCTATCTAAAGAGCTTCTTCCTAAAATAAGCTCTCAAATATGAAATTATTTTCTTAGCTTCTGAGGCATCTTTTGAATCGGAAAACTGAGTCAATTTATAATTAATGCTCTGTTCGGTTCATTTCAAATTAGAGCACCTTTTTATTTTAATTGCGAAATATGTTAAATATTGGTGCTGATTTCTATGTACTTAACTTTCTATGAATATTTCTGAAAGGGAATAAAAAAAGGATTCTTTTTTTTTAAATATTATTAAAATTTGTAACTGAGTTATAAAATATAAGGGAATAAGTCTTTTAATACTTATCAGATTTCTTACCCTTAATTTTAACAATACATATTCTAGAAAATCTTTTCTAGTTCCTTAAGTACGCATCTCATAGAATTTGATTTACAATACTTTTTAACACATTGTTTTCCAGTACGAACAATTCTTGCTTAAATAGTTTTATGGCATGTCCCTCCCCCCAGCGGGCAGACAGCGCTTACATGCCTTACTCTATTTAATAAAAACTTACCCTGACCTATGCTGTTAATTACAAATATTTTAACATGCACAACTCTGTATTTACATCTAGCCATCAAGTTTGAAACTTTTGACTTAAAACACGTTTTAGGATACATTCATTATCAAATTCAAATTTTCTGCTTCGTAGAACATTCAATATCTCTTTTAGCAATTTTACACAGTTGAAATGTTCTCTGATAGTATAATAAATAATAATTATACATTCCACATTTAAACATTAATCTCACTGTTATCAGATCGCAATCTTGATTACCTTCCTCTGCATAATATTGCTTCATTTTATAAAACAGTTAAAACAACTAATTGGTCTAAATTCACAAATACCTGAAATTTTCATCCTGCGAGGTAATCCAGAAGGTAATAATATGCAAAGTATACTGATATACCAATTCATAACACTGATAATGCTTTTTTCCTGTCTTGAAACTCTTTCAAAAATAGCAGGCCAATACTCAAGCATATGAATAACAAAGATTTTTCATTCACAATTTTGTATTACATTTAGTCATGAATAACATTTTAAAAAAGGAGAGACAGAACTTTATTTTTTTGAATTTTTTAGTTAACTTAAAGTGTAAACCCAAAGTGATTATTTTACACTTATATAAAAATAAAATGATAATATGAGGATGACAAACATGTATTTTATTTAAAACATTTTGGTATTTTGGAACATACAATAAAAGTAGCGAATACTCTATCAAGGGTATCGAAAGCCATATAGAATTTTAAAGGTACCACAAAATCGCTCTTGCAAGTTATCGGAAAATAACCAAGATGTGATTTTTGCGTAAATGTCACTAGAATATACAAATTTCTATTATCCATCCAACAATGAATGCTACTTTTATGCGGAAGTGTCCCGTTTTTCGATTTGTATGCAACTGTAGTGTATGGAAATACTATCAAAGTGCTGTCATGGAAACTCTGGATGTAAACAAAAAACACCCCATCTGGAGACGAAAGCCAGGGAGAAGGGCTTCACTTGTAGTGCGGGATTGGCCCTACCTTTTATTCTTACTCCATGTTTTGCAGACCCATGGATTTACATTTCAGCAGGATAATATACTGCCGCACATGACACGCCTTTCTACTGCTTGTCTTCTTTGTGCTTCTGAAACCATTCCATGAACGGTGATCACCAAATCTTTCCCCAGAGCATATTTGGGCTGTGACTTTTCTTCGATCGCTCCTGGATCGCCCTAATCGGCACATGTACGCCAAGCAGTTTCGCAGAAGGATATTCAACAACTCTGAAGAGACATTAGGACTTTTTGGAAGCAGAAGAGATGAAAGAGGAGCAATGCCTTCATCGGGAGTCGAAGCACGGACCTCTCGAACGCGTCGAGCGTGCTGACCACTACACCAAGAAGGCATGCTAGGAAGGCGGAAGAAATAAACCCGACGAGCCAATGTCCAGCCGTATAAAAGCTTGCATCCAAACTAGAGGTGGGCTAACGCATCATTGATTTGTTTTGGCTCTTAGAGTTTATTTCCCGAATAAAACACCTAAATCTGATCACACTGTTAACGCTTCGTTTTTAATACATGCACATCACGTCTATCGGTTTTCGTCACATTCGGATAACTTCTTCTTGGTGCGTCGTTTTTTGTGTTATAGGGTGTATATTTATTTTTTAAATAATATTACATATTTATTTTATCGTTAAAGCAGCCACTCCGTACCGGTTGCTGACCTTTTGCATTTCTGAAATACGCGACTTTGCTAAAGATGATTGTCGCCCCCTGTTCTAGGAAGTTTTTAAAGTGTGAGTTAATAGTAATGGGTCTGAGTGTGATTTATAAAATTAAAAATTTATTTTTTAATTTAGTTGCGAAAACTGTAATAAAATTATTATGTAAAGTAACGACTTCAAGACTTTAATATAATGTTCATTATATGAAAGAGAACCTCGAAAAGACTTAAATTTAAGAAATTCCGAGATAGTCATTATCTAAAAAAAAATCTTAGAAAAGATATTCAATATCTTTGAAGCGAAGATTTTGAATTTTTTGAATGTTAAACATTTAAGACTACGTTAATTTATCTTCATTGAGTATTTTAAGTAAGGAATTTAGAAAGTTTAATTCTCAGACATAAAAAACAACCATACAGACATAAGAATACTGTGATACGTTTTTATATGTAGTTGGCTCAAAATAATGAACTGATTGCTTTTGTTGGAGCTAAGCACTTTAACATTTGTAAAAACTTCCGGTGACAGAGAGCATAATTACATTTTTTCGCGTACAAAATTAAATCGTTCAAATAAAGAATTATTTTAACAAAACGGTCAATGAATTTCCATTCTTTTAAAATAATGAAACACCATAAATTTAATTTCATATGAACAAACTTTTGATTAAGAAAATGCTTTCTGAAACCTTGCAATTTTTTTGGAAGTCATGTTGTTCAGGAGCATTAACTTTTAACATCATAGTTTAGATTCGTACACAATTAACAAAATTTGGGCTTGGCCCTAAACAACAAAAACTTATGCAAACAAAAAATATCATATTTATTCGCTTACAACAGACTTAAAAACATCTCTACAATATATATGTCTATGTGTAATTTATGTATGTAATAATATGCATTGAACTGCATTACAAAATGCCCTTCAGGAATCTCGAGCACAAAATCTTTAGTTTGTCAAGTCCATTCACCGAAACATCCTCTAAGCTCTCACTAAAAGAACCCCTATGGAACATTTGATACAATCAGCAAGATCTGGTCCAGTAACAGTTTGCCCTAGATCCAATATTTTAAAATTTAGGCTTTATTTAAGTATTGTTCGTAATCAAAAGCCGCTGGATTTCCTTTCGCAGCGGGAGATTCAGAATCTTGAGCTGAAGTTGTTGGAATCCGAGATTGTTCGGGAAGGGCTTGAGACTGTTCATCTGAGGCAGTGCTTTGAGGCTGTTCTTCTGAAGAAGAGCCTTGGGACAGTTCAGCCGAGGGACTACCTGAACCTGCTGGTTTTTCTACTGAGGATGAAGCATCTGAGCCTTCTTGCTTTTCAGCTGAAGAAGCTCCTGAATCTGCAGGTTTTTCGGCCGACTGAGAAGCAGCGTCAGAAGTGTCTGAGCCTTCTCCTGAAGCTGAGCCGGGCTTTTCAGCTGATGACGAAGAACCCTCAGAACTGCCTGCTGGATTCGAAGCATCTGACCCAGGTTTGTCAGCTGAAGAAGATCCATCTGATACTTCTGCAGGTTTTTCTGCAGAGCCAGTGCCACTTTCGGAACTTCCACCTGAGGCAGAATTGTTAGATCCCCCTTCAGCTGAGCCGGAATCATCGGCAGGGGCAGGAGTAGGAGCAGGAGTAGTTGGAGGCAACTGGCAAGTACCGCTATTCTGTATAAAAGAAGTTCATATTTCATTATGATCCACCATAATGATTTTCAATAGGAATGCTTGAAACAAGTTTTAAATTAGTTTAGTGACATTCATAAAATAAACAGAGATAAACCTTTTGCATGTGCGAAGTACTGAGCATGAAATGCGAACTCGATTATTCAAAATGGCGACTAGTAAGAAATGTTAAGAAGGTGAGAAAATTTAGCTTTTTAATTAGTCTTAATTTTTCACAACGCTAGAATGCAGTCCCTTCTCATGTCACAGATTTTTGTGAAGTATAATTTAAAGCAGGGTTTTTCAAACATTTTTTTCATTCGTGATCGGTATTAGATAAGGTAAAATTTTTCATAGGGCTAAAGAATGCTGAAAATTTGAAGAAAATTTTATTTGTTACTAGCTTATTAGAATAAAAGTTTAATGTGTCGAAAATTGCAAGCCATTAAAAATAAATAATTTTGCGCGTTTTATTAAAACTGAAACAATAGATTTTTAAAATAAATTATAAATACATAACTGAAACCAAAACTAAAAAAATAGCAAAAAGCTTTGAAATAATTATCGATAAACATATACCAAAAGAAGTACAAGTATTACTGATATAATCTTAGTTACTCAATTACTCATTGACGTATAAAAGTTCGAATGAATTAATTTGAAACATTTCTATTAATTTTGACTCCGAAGTTTCAAATGTTTAATCTCCTTTACCTTTATTTAAGGCTATATGAAGGTTACGCATGTTAAACTGACAACTCTTAATCGTAGTCTTTTAATGTGAATTGTACTAAATACCTAAAATTGCATGCAAATGATAGTTTGGAAATATAAAAATATTTTTAGAAATGTAATAAATAAGTGTTGTGCAAAGCAACCGTACGGAAAAAGGCATGGGGTGGAAAACAGCCTTGAGATTGTTCATCCGAGGAGGAACTATTTGAATCTGATAGTTTTCTACTGAGTATGAAGCATCTGAATCTTCTGGCTTTTCAGCTGAAGGAGACCCTGAATTTGCGGGTTTTTGGGCTGACTGCGAAGCAGAGTCAGAAGCTTGGGTTTGAGCCGAGTTGAAAAACGTTTGAGAAAGGCTGGGTTGCGAAACGTTTGAGCCGGAGTTTTCAGCTCAGTTTGATGTTCTGTTCTGTTACTTTTTAAAACATAAATACGTTTAGATATTTAATGCATAACATTGTTAAAAATGTAGTTGTAAATTTGTAGCTACGTCTTAAATGTTTATAAAAGAGAATAAATTCATTTCATAGTTCAAGATCACGTTTTTAAGATTTTTATGTTCACTGATTTTGAACACACGATTCCGTCTAACTGTTACTATTGTATTGGAAAAGACATCGCTTTCTCTTGTTGTAAGCAAATTCAAATTCCAAAGCATCAAACTTGGACACTCATAAGTATAGTATATATAAGATTTTGATGCTAATGAAATAAGCTTTTAAATTATTTGGAATTCATTTGAAAATTTAATTTGAGGCCAAGTAACATTCATCGTAGAGAAATCAATAAAGTCAACTTTTAGAGAGAACTGATATAGTACGCACCTTCTTCTTTCCTGATTGGACACAAACTAAACCTTCAGAGCAAGGACAGGAACCAATGTAGAAGTCACCAAACATCGGGAGTATCACGTCCGTCACTTTGCACTTTTGGCCTTAGAAAGTAAAACATGTAAGTCTTTAGAATAATCTTAGCCTGAAAAAATTCAGCAATAAACGGGATCTTGAAAACTGAATTTTCTGTTTGAAACAAGCCGCTTTTTAATTTTATTTAATTTGGAACTCGTAAAATTACTTTTAAATATTAATATATCATTTGTAAATAAGACGTAAAATCAAATGAACAAAATTAATATGAACGTAAAATGATGATCACTTTAAAAAGAAGACACCAATCAAAACAATGAATCAAAAATATGGGAAACAAAATTAAAATAAAAGTAAATCAATAGATAATTAATATATATCTGTAATAAAGAAGTTGCAAGGTTTAAGGAGAAAATATTTAGTAAAAGCTTTTGCAGAATAATTTTGGAATTTTTAAGCAGGTTGATAATTTCCTAACCAACGAATTCTCTATGAATTATAGCCATTTCGGTTATTTGATTTTGGAGGAAGCTTTGCTTTCTCCGATAATTCGCATTAAACTAAATCAGATAAGATTTCTTTTATTATATTTTGAAACATATTTTATCTTCTATTCAATACAACATTGGAATATTGAAATAAAAAATACAGTGAAACCTCGAATTATGAACTCTTCTCTTCACGTACAATTTTGTTCATGAGCAAAGTATCGAAGCGAAAAACGCCTATAGTGACAAACGGTGTCTGAGGTTTCGAACAAACTCAGGTCGGCAATTTATGATTTTTAAAGTGAACCATGCTACACAATTAACACTCAAGGTTGTCTTGATGCATTATTTTGTATTGTTCTCTGGTTAGCTTTCATTAACAGAGCATGGCAGAAAGTGACTTATGCGAACATTTATTGAGTTTGGAGAAAATTATGGTCAAACTGGGTTGCAAGCAGAGACTTATGAGCACTTAAGACTTTTTTTTATCTATGATTTTGTGATTCTAGGCAAAACAGTGGGCTAGGACTTTAACAATTAAGAGGTGAGGAAGTTACTACAGCATCATAAAATGAGCTCATCAAGAAAGAACTACTACAACTTCGGAAGCAGCAACGAAACACGATTGTGGAAGAAATATCTTCAGAAGAAGAAGAAGGAAGAAAAATAATCTTGATTTTTTAATCCGTGAAATTTATGCATATTGGAGTAAAATACAAAATTTCCGCGTAATTTATCATCCTGATAAAGCAGTAGCAAACCACACAAGTAACAACAAGCATTTTCAGTGATAATACCAAGAGTATCTGTAAAAATATTTTAAAATATAGGTAAGACTAAATGGAACAAAGAATTGATTGAAACAAAGGCCCAGTGAGACTCAAACTGAGAGCGCTTACAGCCAAAGAAAAGTAAAAGAAAATGCCTCCTAAAGACAGTTACTTGATCGTTTCATGGATCAGAATTTCTCATCTAAACAATAACATCTTCCTCATCCCTTTGCATTTACGCCATCCACTTTTTTCGCAGGAAAATTAAATCAAACTTTAGTCTATTTTATCTATTTAATATTGTATTTATCTTTTTTGCTTCATATTTAATGATTTTCATTGATTCCGATTGATGAACCTGTGCGCAAGTGTAAAGTTCAAATAAACAATCACCTGTGATGTACGAAGGAGTTAATCCATTTTGCATTAATTCTTAGAGAAAAATTGTTTCGGTTTACAAATAGTTCTGTTGACGAACGGTATTGAGGAACGAATTAAATTCGTGAACCGAAGTTTCACTGTAGTATCAGAACCGTACTATAGCTTTAGCATAACTGCTATATTTTACGTGCCCAATAGTTGAAAGAAAATTAATACTAAAATGTCTAAACAGAAAAGTGAAGTGAAGAAATTTTTACCAGCAAAAATACTTTGGCTAGGAAATTTATTATATAAAACTATGACGTTTTCATTTTCTGGCAAGTAGTGCTTACTATGCGCTATTTCCCAGGGCCATCTTAACGTATTAGCCTGCTGGGGCCCCACATGCATAGGGGTCCCATGCTCATTCATTTACATGTACATTTTCTTTCTGTGAGAAGTTATCATATTAGTCCCAGGACACTGAGTTGACCGTGGCTCTTAATGCTGTTCAGGCGACACTACTGTTTGCCGTATGTACTGATAGGCCGCATTGCAGTGTCAGATTAATAATCATACTTCAACTATAACGCGATTTTATTTTAAATTCTTCATCATTTTCAATATGATAATTGCTATGAAATTACACGAGGTTAATTAACAAAATTAAAGTCGATTAATTATGCTAATAACTGTTTATAACTTCTTTAAAACGTGAATTAAAAACGTAGGAGTTCTACAAATGAGTTATAGAATTTCAAAAAAGTTGATTTTTAAAAGTATTACACTCACAATAAAAAAAAAAAACGATACATCAAAAAAGCCAGAAACTCAACAAATTTTTATCTTATATTACAAATGCTCATCATGTATCTAAGTCGATTTCGTTTGCTAACTGCAGTATGCTTTCCTAGGTCTCTTGATTTAACGGGGTGTGGTCTTTTGCTTTAGGAATTCGTTAAGATATGTGTTTTCATTTTGAAAACACAGACCTGACAGTTCTTATGGCAGGCACCAGGTTCCTGCACTGATAGTTCTTATGGGAGGCACCAACGATTTTATGATAATCTTTGAAAGGGGTCATAACCTGTCAAAGATTATCATAAAACGTTAAAAAAGCGTACAAACTAAACTCGATACCGCGTAAATGTGATTTGTGCGGCCAACGGTTACAGATAAGATATTGGAAAATTTGGCGAGTTTCCGCTTCATTTCTTGTTTCAATTACTATCATATCTGTAATACATTAAAAAGAACACTGTTTTCAAATTGGATGAATCATTTATAGTAATTAAGTAAAAATTTTAGATTGAGCTATTTATTGCTCACGCATTATTAAAGAAAAACAAAGAAAAATTAGTGAAACTTGAATGTATATTCCTTCTTTTATATTTACTGAAGAAAAGAAATTTCGAGAAATATTAACTTTTGCATACAATTTAACAAACGATTATGCAATTAAAACAAAAAAGTGAAATGATTTTATAAGAATTCAGTTTCTGATTGCCATATGAATTTCTACATAGTTCATTTAACTGGATTCTTTAGTAAAGAAATAGTTTTTCACATGGCCTGTTTTTTGAAAGAATCGTATCAGTACGAAATATATATATTGGAAAAAAAAGCAGCAAAGAAATTATGAGTTAAAAGTTTTATGAAACATAAAATGGGTTTTGAATTTTTCGGGATATCAAAAATTTCAACGTATTAGTGTGGTGTGCCTTCATTCAGAATTTCGAATTTAATAGACGATACAATTACCAACCTAAAGGTGTCATAGCGCGGCATGCACCACCCCAGAATGGGACTCCAGCACAGCACTGCCCTGGCGCACAGCTCGATTGGTCGGAGCAAGCCACGGCAGAAACCACCTAAAAATAATAATAATAAATGCAATGAAAATTTAGTACACACATTTATTAAATTAGACTCTTGTAAAATTCCAAGAACCATTGTTTTTTCATTAAATATTATCTTGTTATATTTTTATTAAGTGATACGAAAACTGATTCTGATTTACGCATCATTTACTAAAAAGGGGCTTTAAAGAAATAGCTGGTCTCCACTATAGGATAAATCCAAACCTTGCAATTACTATAAGAGCACAGTAAGTCTTTCCATAAAAATTGTGCAAATAATTGAATGAAAAATACGTGTCCCAGTCTGCTTTCTTAGCACACTGCCATACACGTTTTTACTACAATCATGGCACTTTTATATTATTTGAGTGATATTTACATTTTAATTAACAGCATTTGAATTATTAAAATATTACATATTTGATACATAAATTATCGTACCAAAGAAGATACAGAATTTCTTGATAGTAAGTTTAGAGTTGTGTTGCATCACTGGGTAAAAACACGTCTTTCCTAAACATTTTGAAAACGTTTATGATCTTAATGGCAGTCAATCGAATAATGAAATTCGTCAAGTCAACAGACTAGTTGTGACCTTTTGTATAAATATCAATATATTTGAAATATTTAAATCCTTATAAATAAAGAGACAGACTTTGAAATTGCAAATTTTTGATACTAACCTGTCGATGTAATACACATTTTTGATACTAACCTGTCGATGTAATACACATTTTTGATACTAACGTATCAACGAAATTTTATCCTTATTAGTTATTAACGGATCATATGCTTACTAGAGCTGCGTATCATTTCACATAAACAAAAAAACGGAGAATTAATGTTGGATATATGACTGGTTGAAAAGGACACTGTAATAGGAGAAAATAGGCATTATTGCCTAACGATTTGTAATACATTTTAGAGGAGATTTGAATGCATAAAATATTGCATTTAAATCTATATTTATCTATAAAGCATTAAATAACTGAAGAATAATAATAAGAAGCATTTTAAATAATTTAATATTTTGGCAGGTGATCCCTTAAAAGGAGCAGAAGACGTGGTATACAGGAGGATGTGAAAGAAAATAAAAATAGATATCTTACAAAAACCAAGAGTACATCTGAAAATGCTAGTTGCTAAATGGCACTCAAGAAGTGTTTATTCTGAAATCAAGTATGTAATACTGCGGTAGAAATGTTTTAATTAATTGCATTCATGGTGTAACTATTTTAAAATGATATTAGTTAGATGGTTTTAACTAGTCAGCAAAATTATTAAGCAGTAAGTATATTGTTTTTAAATTGAAATTCAATGTACTGTTATAATATGAAATTTAAACTTAATTTCGGCTGCTTAAAAATTGACGACAGGTTTCAGAGCAGGTAATTTAAATGGCTGCAAAGATTATTTACGGTGCTGAAGGGAAATGTAACAGGAAAAATTGAAAAGCCTACATTTCAGATGTTTCTAATTTCAAAAGGTGTAACAAAAGGCTTACAGTATTAAAAGATGGTAAACGCGAAAAAAAAATTAGAAAGAAGGATTTAGGAATCATATTGATACTTCTGAATTTCTAGATCTTGGAACAGCATTATAGCTAGCAAAACAATTATTTTCCTTCAAATGCAGTCCTCTGGTTAAAAATCATGTAGTAATTTTAGTAATGATCTAATACCCATAACTTTATTAAATGCACGAAAAAGGAATTGCCGAAGTTATAAGCACTGCAATCCATATCGTGTTCTAAATTCTTTTTTGATATTTAAATTACACATTTGAGCAATTTTCTGCAACGAGATATTTTGTTGCTGTTTGGGTTTTAGAAAGTAATCTCAACCAGCAATCGCATTATCCTTTATAGACAGTTATCTACACAAAGAAATGAGGATTAAAAAATTAATCAAAGTACTTAACAAACTGAAACTGGATACTCTCATATCTTATTAAAAATCATAAAACCTTCGATACATACAATAAGTAAACTAAAAGATTAAAGAAACATATTAAGTAGAAATTTAAAAAAATGTTTCGCAATTATAAAAACTTAAAAAAAGGGTAATATAAAATTAAGAATTAAATTCAACACAAGGGTACAAATCCTTATGAAATTTAATTAAAGTTATTTAAATCAGAAATGTATCAAAAGTGATTGAAAGTGAAAAATATAATTTAAATATCTGAAAGAAAGAATAGATTTAGGGCTCAATTTTCACTTACCGCCAGGCCACAAGAGAAGAACACAAAAAGAATAATAGTTTTCATTTTGGACTACTAAAGGTTCTTTGATCGAATGCAAAAGATGTTTTTATTTTTCCAAGTGAAGCATCAGTAAAGGGTTAGCTGCTTAAATATAATTTTACATCCGGATTTTCAAGAATTATCTCTAAGCTATAATCTCTACAGAACATGTAAGCAATGGCCGAAAACATTGGGCAAGATGCTTAAATCATTTACGTTTTATTTGGTAGTAGAAACGCGAGTTATCTTTTAACAGCCATTATCTTGGCGCAAGAAATATGAACCTGAAAGATCCTTATGGCCTTCAGACTTATACCGGAATTTAAAAGAAACTTGTTGTTTATGTTTCACTAGGATTAAAATTTACAGCTCTTAAGTTACTTTATCTTAAATATGGATACAACGCAAGGTCGGCCATTCAAAAAGAAGCAGTTTTGTAAGTTACAGAAGATTAAAAAAAAACATGGCGTGAAGGACCGGAACTACAGTGCATTTCAGTAAATAATAATTTTATGATTTAGGAAGTTTTGGAAGCTATAGAATATAAATTCGAATAAGTTCAAACAGGTCGAATAAGATGATCATAGGCTTTCGTTTCCTAAATATTGAACTCATATAGTTACAGTCTCAAAATCTTTCAATAAAAGGTAGAGAAATTTTCTGAAAACAGTTTCAACAGGTTCGCAAGGTTCAGTGTAATAATATTTACATTTTGACTCCGTAGAGCAAAAATTACAGTGGTAAGCTATTTTATCCCATCTTACCGCAAACTTCGTTGTGTAACTAAAAGAACGTTCGGATCCAGTTGGGAGCTGCGAAGTTCGAATCTTGAGCTAAAGCTTTACATATTTTTCGACAATTATTATCAAAAATAATACTTACAATTATGTAAAATTTCTAACAATTTGACATGAATACCTTGATAATAAGCATTATATGAGAGTTAAAATTATTCCGATTCAAAATAAGTAGCATGAACATTACACTGCTTTGCAAATATCATAAATATTAAATATTTGTAGATTATGAATGAATTAGGAATAAAAGAAAATGCTGATTTACATTTCAATTGGGTTCATGTCAGAATCTTAGAAATCACCCCATACGAAGTTAAAATTCGAAGACACATAACACGCAAACATCTGTAATTAAAATGCAAAGCTGTGTTACGTTAAACAAAACTGAATCAAAGTATTTCCTTTTCAGAAAGAATATTTATCAAATGTATTTCGAATTTTATTTTCACTTTAGGTCTTTTGCCTAAATTGTACTCAAGGTGTAGTGGCACATTTTAGATCATATTTATGTTAAGAAAAGAGCGATAACACTGATGCAGCGAGCCTTTAATTAGTATTCGAACCCAGATTACATTACGAATCCACAGGACCGGATTTAGATTTGACGATATCCTAAGTTATTTGAGATATGGGGCCTCTGTGAGGGATACGAGTTAATTTTTTTATATGGGATATAGTACAATTTTTGGGGGGCCTCAAGAAAGGGGGGCTCTAAGCTATAGCTTGTGTAGCTTATACGTAAATCCTACGCTGCGAATCCATCATACACAATCGGGCACTAATGGGCCTTTTTGTTTTTCATTTTTGTGTCATATTTTCAAGAAAATAATCCTCAATATGTTGAACAGTGGCAATGTTTCAAAGGTTAAAGGAAGAAAAAGTAAGAAACGGCGAATTATTATCTTTTATGTTCACTAATATTTTGGCTTTTGAAATTTTTAACTTAAGACAAAACGATTTTTTGAATTAGACCAAAAAGCAATCTTATTTTGGGTATAGGTTTTAAATAAAATTTAATTGATTTCAAGGGCTATCAGAAGCAGATCTTTGTTCTTCAGGAACAAAAAGAATACTTGATCGTCAGAAAATACTACTACTACTAATAATAATAACAATAATTTGAGGGACTCCTGAGGAAGAAAGACCTGCTTCTGATCGCTCTTCGAAATTGGTAGAATATGACCTACTCTAAAATTAAAGCGCTTTTTTTAATTTTAAATTTTGCTTTTGAGTGTCCTTCATTCATTTCGAGGGCTTACAGAAGCAGATTCTTCTTCAGAAGCAAAAAGAATATTTGACCGTCAAAAATACTACCACCATTACTGCTACTACTACTACTAATAATAATAAGTTGGGGGGGTTACTGAAGAAGAAAGACCTGAGTCTGATCGCTTTCGAAATTGATACAGTATGATTCAAGACCTACTCTAAAATAAAGATGCTTTTTTCTAATATGTTTTGTTGTTAAATTTTGTTTGATATTCGAGTGTGTTTCATTTGCTTGATTGCGAATTCGTATATTTAGTGATCTAAGAGATACTAAAACTTAATTTAACAGTAGAAAATAATTAAAAAAACTGGTGTGCTGTGTGCTGTGTAGCAGGTTTTAAATCGTACGTTGTACGTTGTAAATAGAAAGTGTAATTTTGTTGTATCAAAATATGTAAATCGAATGTGTGTTAGATGTTTTTCTTATTATTTATTTATACCTCTATTAACTGAAATGCTACAGTTTCATCATGAAGAGTTACGCTTAGTTATTACCTTCACCTCTAATCTTTGTTTTTATCTGAAGTTTAATTACAACAGATATTCTCAGGTAATACACAGGCTAGATTTCGAAGAAGCGATAAGGTGGAAGTTCTTTAGTTTAAATTTATTGCATTTACTATCGCAAACAAGACTTGCAAAATTCTTTATGATTAAGTTATTATTAGTGTAATTTTCAGCATTATACTTTGATTTTTAATATACTAAGTAGCTGTTCTCAACCTTTCCTCTCTCGTATACCTCTTAATATGTTTTTAATATAGAGTACCCTGCCTTCCCCTCCCCTTTCAAAACACTGACTCCTTTCCTTCAAGTAAAGTAGTGACTACTTTACTTGAATTTAAATTTAAGTGTCTGACATTGTATAATTTACATAGCAAAAAGCAGTGGTTTATCTGTAATGCGAATCGTGTCCTTTATGTTAGAGGTTCAGTTTAATAAAAAAAGTTATTTAAACTTTTGCAAATCTTTGTCGTGCTATTTCAAACGTACAGATAACCCGCTACTTGTCTAGTAGTATCAGGTTCAGTGTTCCTCCTTACTTGCTTTGGGAACATTAAATGACCTGACTCGGAACAGGGAGCTTACTAAAGCTATGTTCAATAAATGTGGGAAGTAGACAAGATATACAGGAAGGGTATACGAAACCCTTTATTTTTCTCTCTTTACAATGATTTCCGGACTTCGGAATACAGAGACCAACCACTTGTGGTCTGAACGTAAGAATATAAAAAATATTAACTAAATCTAACTAAACTAACTTTGGATTAATAATAAACAAGTGCCTACTTGAAGATTGGCCGTATATTAACAGAAAAAGCCGTATGTAGTACAGAGAACTGTTAACACTACAATACGTTTAAAATTATTATCAAGAGGATTAAACCTCTGGCCTGGAAGGCAACCAGCAACCGAGTAAAACTTCTAAGGTAAGCGGCCTGCTTCGACTAATCACTCCTTCCTCTCTCTTGCTTGGCAAAAAGCCACAACTTAAGTACTTGGCGTTCGCCAAGACAAATTTGCATAAATAAGTTAAAGCTTTTAATTCTGGCCGGAAGTAGAAAATAAGTGATAGTAAAGATTTAAAATAAAATAAACGTTAGTAAAAACTTAAGATCCTTACATACTTCCCGCCAGAGTTAATTAGTTTGAAACTGAGGTCTAAAACGACCTTGTTGAAAACTTTTAGCTCTAGAATCTAACGCGAGGCCAATCTTTTACAAATATTTCTCACTAGAAACTAGAAATTTAAAAAAAAAAATCGTTTTTTACATTATCAGCTCCATGGACAATTACTTTTCATCTGTACTGCATCTAAACAGGAGCTTTTAGTTCAAATCTGGTTCCTTCCAGAGATCTGGAAGGAAAACTAGTTTAATGAAATGTTACACAATGAAATGGCAAGTAACATGAATATTTATATTTCTCTTAACATTCTCTTTCATTCATGACTTATTTAATTATCTCTCCCCGTGCTCTCTGACATGTGTTGTAAAAGAAAACACCAAACACGAATGTGTTTATGTACAAGTGTTCAACACTTCCTCCTACAATCAAAACACTAACGTGTTAAAATTCAACATAACAAGACCTCGTAACACACCCTAATTCAACTCTAAACCCTGAGGTACTATTCTGAAAGTGGCTAACTCTGAAGTGTAGCGTCAGAGAGCCTAACTACATTCATTCAACCTTTAACACATATTCACAATAATTTGGCTCTTTTTACAGTCACACGAATAAGTTAAAAATTTTTGGCATTATTTTCACTTTTACCATATCACAGTATTTCTTAACATTTAAAATAACAGTTTACATTGTATATAAGGACATATTAACATGCCGTTAATTTTACGCAATTTAAAACATACATTAGTAGTACATTGTTAACTTCTATTCTTTTCCAAAGCAAGTGCCAATTCTTCTACATTGAAATACTACATTTCAAAAAGTCTTTCAGACTAAAACTTCTTTCTTGCCAGAATCTTTTAAATAAAATTTATACAATAACTTTTACAATATTCAAGTATTTACACATTCCTATTATACATCAACTTTAGTTTTACTCGCGAGTAATTGAAAAACATAATACCAAAATAGGTAACAACTCATTTCTCGCCTTTTTGGCGATAAAGGTAGACCTCACATGAGGTAAAACTTCTTGAAATCTGCCACTTGCAGTAAGAATGAAAGATTAACTTAAGTTTGCAAAGTAACATAAAATTTTACTTATCTTTGTGATATATTCGGACATTCTTTTCTGCCCAGTCCTGGAAGGTAGCGAAGATTCTAGCGTTTGATTTATCCTCCTTCTTGTGCGGGCTCGCCCTTCAGTTCCTTCCTCTAGAAGCTTTCTTTTTCCTTCCAGTTCGGTCACCCTTGAATACCTTCTTTTTCGCCTCTGCCTGTGGTCTTGGCCGTTTGATGGCAGCTGGTCTTGGCGGAACCGGGACACTTCTCTCTCGTTCCTGCTTGGATCCTCGTTGCTGGCCGTTCAAATTTTCCTTGTAACTTTTCCTCCGCCGCTGGTGGCCCTTCCGCAGTTCGGCGACATTTGCTGCGGAGAGT